TCTTGTAGCGCGCACCGCCCTGTACTCAACTGCTTCCGTCTCCAAGACAACATCCCGTAGTCAACAGCTTCCGTCTTCAAGACAATGCCCAGTATTCAACAGGCTCCCGCTGCAAGAGAAAATCATCAAGGAGTCGATTCAAATCCCCGCCCGCCAGCCCGCCAGCCCGCCGCCCCCCCGCCCGCTCGCCCGCCCGCCCGCCTGCCTTCATTATAGCACGCGCCACCGTGTACTCACCTGCCTCCGTCTCCTAGGCAATACCCTGCAATCAACAGACTCCGTCTCCGAGACGACGCCCAGTTTTCAACAGGCTCCCGCTGCAGGAACACATCATTAAGAAGTCTGTTAAAATCCCCGCCCGCCCGCCCGCCCGCCTCGCGCCGGCTGCCGTCCGCCCGCCGCCCGCCCGCCGGCTCGTCCTTTGCAGCGCGCACCGCCCTGTACTGACGGTTTTTAGAACACTTTCCTGAAACCTTCCTAAAACCTTCCCCAGGAGGGTTTTTGGAAGGTTTTTGGCAGGTTTTCGGAACAACCTTCCTGAAACCTTCCTCAAGCCTTCCTCAGGAAGGTTAGCGGGAGGTTTTTGGAAGGTTTTTAGAATTTTCCTGGCGAGGCAACCTAACAGCGATGTGTATAAGCATATCTGGAAGCATTCCCCTTAAGATTCAGGTGAGAATCCAGTTGTAGAATTCTGCTGTTCTCGCAGTCGCAGTCGCATTCGCAATGACAGTCGCAGTGGCAACGGCTTTAGGATCCAATGGAATCCTAAGGAGTCCTAGGGATTCCTAAGGCATCCTTAGGCATCCTGAGGAATCCATAGGAATCCTTAGGAAACCTGAGGAATCCTTAGGAATCCTCATTCCTAGGGATTCCCAAGGATTCCTCGGGAATCCTAAGGATTCCTAAGGATTCCGTAGGATGCTCAACTGTGCCTACGGATTCCTAAGGATGCCTACGGATTCCTAAGGATTCCTAGGGATTCCTAAGGATTCCTATGGATTCCTACGGATGCCTCAGCCTGCCTCAGTTTCAGCCTCAGCCTCAGCCTGCCTCGGCTTGCCTTATAACTCAGCCTCAGCCTGCCTCGGCCTCAGCCTCAGCCTGCCTCAGCCTCAGCCTCAGCCTCAGCCTGCCTCGGCCTCAGCCTGCATCAGCCTCAGCCTCAGCCTGCCTCAGCCTCAGCCTGCCTCAGCCTCAACCTCAGCCTCAGCCTCAGCCTCAGCCTCAACCTGCCTCGGCTTGCCTCAGCCTCAGCCTCAGCCTACCTCGGCCTCAGCATGCCTCGGCCTCCCCTCCTCCCCCCCCCTCCCCCCCTTCCCCCCCCCATTCAGCCTCACCTTGTTTCAGCTTCGGCCTGCCTCGGCCTCATCCTCAGCCTCAGCATCAGTCTCAGCTTCAGCCTGTCTCGGCCTCGGCCTCAGCCCAGCTCGGGCATTCAAAATATGGCGCAGGACTTTTTTTCTGGGAACACGAAGATCAAGAAGTGGCCCACAGTTGGCTCCGGGCAATCAACATATAATACAGGAGTGGTGTTCTGGGAACGCGAAGAACACGAAGTGGCCTACAGTCGGCTCCGGGCAATCAAAATGTGGCCTGGGAGTGGTGTTCTGGGAACACGAAGAACACGAAGTGGCCTAGAGTTGGTTCCGGGCATTCAAAATGGCCTGGGAGTGGTGTTCTGGGATGACGAAGAACACGAAGTGATTTACAGTTGGCTCCGGGCATTCAAAATGTGGCCTGGGAGTGGTGCTCTGGGAACACGAAGAACACGAAGTGGCCTAGAGTTGGTTCCGGGTATTCAAAATGTGGCCTGGGAGTGGTGTTCTGGGGAGTCCCCGGATCCTCCCCGGCACCCGCCCAGACCCCCTTGGGGAGTCCCGGGGAGTCCCCGGATTCTCCCCGGCATCCGCCCAGACCCCCCTGGGGAGTCAAGATGCTCTCTTTTGAGTTCGCAAGAAACTTATCAGTCTTCGCTGTTAGGTAAAAACCTTCCTGAAACCTTGCTAACACCTTTCTCAGGAAGGTTTTTGGAGGGTTGTTGGAAGGCTTTCGGAAAGAACCCTTTCTCAAACCTTCCTAAAACCTTCTCCAGGAAGGTGTTCGGAAGGTTTTCGCAGGGTTTTTGGAAACACCTCTTGGAACCTTCCTAAAACCTTCCCCAGGAAGGTTGTTGGAAGGTTTTTGGAAAAAAGCCTTCCTGGAACCTTCCTAAAACCTTTGCCAGGAAGGTTTTTGGAAGGCTTTTGGAAGGTTATTGGAAAAGAACCCCCTCAAACCGTTCTAAAACCTTCCTCAGGAAGGTTTTTGGGAGGTTTTTGGAACAGGCCTTCTTGGAACCTTCCTAAAACCTCCCCCAGGAAAGTTTTTTGGCAGGTTTTTAGAAGGTTTTTGGGAAAACCTTCCTGGAAGGCTTTGGGAAAAAAACTTGCTTGGAACCTTCCTGAAAGTTTCCCCAGGAAGATTGTTGGGTTTTTTTTGGGGAGTTTTTTGGGGCAACCTTCCTGAAACCTTCCTGAAACCTTCTTCAGGAAGGTTCTTGGAAGGTTTTTGGAAGGTTTTTTGGACAAACCTTTTTAAAACCTTCCCCAGGAAGGTTTTTGGGAGGTTGTTTGGAAAACACCTTCCTGGAACCTTCCTAAACCATTTCGCAGGAAGGTTCTTGGAAGGTTTGTTGGGCAATTTTTGGAAACAACCTTTTGGGAACCTTCCGAAAATCTTCTTCAGCTAGGTTTCCAGAAGGTTGTTGGAGGGTTTTTGAAACACCTTCTTGCAACCTTCTTAAAACCTTCCGCAGGAAGGTTCTTAGATTTTTCGCGGGAAAGCCTACCTGAAACCTCCCTAAAACCTTCCTCACGAAGGTTTCTGCAAGGTTTTGGAACGATTTTTGGGAAACGACCTTCCTGGAACCTTCTTAAAACCTTCCACAGGATGGTCAGGAAGGTTTTTGGAAGGTTTCAAGAAGGTTTTTTTTTTGGGGGAAAACCTGCTTGAAACCTTCCTAACACCTTCTGCAGGAAGGTTTTTGGAAGGTTTTTTGTTGAAAGATTTTTGGAGCAAAAAACCTTCCTGAAACCTTCCCCCGGAATGTTCTTGAAAGGTTGTTGGAAGGTTTTCGGAGAACACCTTCCTGAAGCCTCCCTAAATCCTTCCGGGGGAAGGTTTTTTGTTGGAAGTTTTTTTTGTTTTTGTTTTTTTTGGTTGTTGTTTTGTTTTGTTTTGACAAACTTTCCGGACACCTTCCTAAAACCTTCCTCAGGAAGGTTCTTGGAAGGTTTTTTGGAAGGTTTTTCGAACAACCTACCTGACACCTCCCTTACACCTTCCTCAGGAAGGGTCTTGGAAGGTTTTTGGTCCAACCCATCCTGTAAACTTCCTGAGGAAGGTTTTAAGCAGGTTTTGGAACGTTTTTTTTTTTTGGGGGGGGGTTAGGAAGGTTTTAGGAAGGCTTGTCTCGGATATTTTTGGAGGATAAATGTTTTTTGTTTGGGAAGGTGTTTGGAAGGTTTGTGGCAGGTTTGTTTGGGCGTTTTTTTTTTTCGGAAGGCTTTTGGACTACACTTTGCGGTTTCGCTTAATTCAGGCAGGTTTTAGGAAGGTTATCGGAAGGTTGTTGGACGTTTTTTTGGGGAGGTTTTTGGAAGGTTTCTGGAAGGTTGTTGGAAGGTTTCAGGAAGGTTTTTGGAACAAAACCTTCCTGACACCTTCCTCGCTTCCCCCTCCGGGAAAACCTTCCAAACAACCTTCCTACAACTTCCCTCAGGAAGGTTTCAGGAGGGGTTCGTCGGAGCTCCCGCACCGGTCTCGGGGGGAGGCCGCATCGGGTTCGCTGCGCATGCTCCGGATTTGGAGGCAGAGTGTTTTTTTGTTTTTTGTTTTTTTGTTTTTTTTGCAAGCGATGGTGAGGGGGGGGGGGGCGCATGGTCTCGGGTTGGCTCCCAGTCGCCTGGGGAAGGGGGTGTATATTATTAGGGAACAGTGGTAAAGCCCTCCCTGAAAGGGAAGAAGGGGGATGGAAGAGGAAACGCCCTAAACCACCTACGCCCAGAGGGCTGGTGAGATCTTGCCTCGTGGGGCCCTTCTCGGGAGTGCTCTTGGAGGCTTCTTGGGACGTCTTGGCGACCTCCTGGGAGTCTGTAGGACGTGAAGGCGTTTTGGAACGATAGCTTGGCGATCGGGGGCCCTCTTGGCCCGTTCGGGGGCCTCTTGGGATACCCTTGCCTTGTCTTGGTATCGGATACCCCAGGACCCCCAACGGGGGATGCGTATCTGACCCCCTCTTCCCCCCCCGTGACCCCCTGGATACCTCCCCGACCCGCCCCCCCATCCCCCCTCCAGGATCCCCTCCCGACGGCGGAGGGATCAAAGGGAAGGGGATTCCCCTTCGACTCTGACTTGATTACGACATTGCTCGATTTTTGTTTCGCTGACAGGCTTGAGGAGGGTGCAGGGAAAGGGGGCGACGGAGACGACGACTGACGGAGACGACGACTCCTAAATCGAACGTGTCCCTCTGTAGGAGGAATATTCAAAAACAGTAAAAAAATAGTCAGGGGACGATTTTTGCTATTATTTTTAAATATTTCTGGAATCTTTTGTCACTATTTTTATTTTTCGTCCAGAATCCGCCTGTAGGGGGACATACCCGATCTAAGGCGGCTCTAGCAGACAAGCCTCTCACACACGCCGACAGGGTATGCTCTTTGACCAGGAATCGCTGTCGGTGTCGCCGCGTACGTGGTCCGCTTGAGACAGAAGGCCGCCTGGCCAACAGCGGCCGCGGTCGGCTCTGGACAACATGTGGTGTTCGGCGTCAGGCATTGTACCCGTGTTTTCCGTGCCCATTTCGGGCGTCCAACGATGAGCGTGTCGCCGGCTCCACGGTGCGCAGAGCGGGAGATCAGCGCCTTGCGTTCGCCAGGTGCTCGCGTCAAGTTCCGCCTCCGTGCCAACGTGGCACCTTCTGCGGCGACGCATCTGTGCACATCCTGCGAACCTACCAGGCCTGTCACCACGTCTCGATGCCCGTCCTCCTCTCTTTTCCTCTGTGCACATCCGCGCGGCTCGGCGGGTCTTAGCTGCCTATGGCTTGTGCGACCATGCCAGTGCATGTGAGCCCGCCAGCCTTCTCTTGGAGGCACCTTTGACAAAATCGACTCCAGCGCCTGCTAGGACAGGGCTTTATATAATCAAGTAGGAACGAGGTCGCTGTGTTCCTTCAGGAGCGCGTCGCAGTTTTTGGCTCTGCGTTCTTGCCTCGGTAGCACCCCAGACGTCTTTCTCTGGACTGACGCTGTAGCTCCTGAGAGCCTTAAGTTTTGCAGCTTGTTACATCAAAAACGTTTCTGGGATCTCGTCAGCTCGTGAAACCAGACGTCGTGTACAGCGTTTCCGACTTGCGAGAGCTCTTTGGTTGCCAATCGACTTTTCTTTAACTTTTTAGCAGCCTCTTAGCTATAGCATGATGGCCCCGGTTCGGTTCGGTTCGGTCCGGTTCGGCGCGCCTTCGTGTCGGTGCGGCCGGTCCGGTTCAGATCGCCGTCCGGTTCGGTCCATCTGGTCCGGTTCGAGTATGTTGGCCGGTCCGGTTCGGCCGGTCCGGTTCGGTCGCTCGGTTCGGCCGGTTCGGTCCGGTTCGGCCGGTTCGGTTCGGCCGAGGGTTTCCGGTTCGGCCGGTTCCAAGACACCCCCGAATTCTTGGACATGAGGCGACGACGACGACGACGTCGACGACGTCGACGTCGACGACGACGTGCAGAGTGGGGAGCGGGAGCGGCAGAGTGTGAGAGAGGGAGGAGAGAGGGAGGAGAGAGGAAGGAGGGACGAAGGGGGGAGGAGGGACGACGGGGGAGGGCCGACGGAGGGAGGGACGAGGGAGGGAGGGGGCAGCAGGAACGGAGGAAGCCGCAGAGGGAGGGACGAGGGAGCGGGAGCGGCCCTCCGATCCCCGGCGTCCTGAGGGGGGGTCAGGTCCCCCGTCGTCCTGAGAGGGCGGGCTCAGGTCCCGTCCTGAGGGGGGGTCAGGTCCTGAGGGGGGGCGCCGTCCGTCCTGAGGGGGAGGGGGGGCGCCGTCAGGTCCTGAGGGGGGGGTCAGGTCCTGAGGAGGGTCAGGAGGGTGGGTCGGGAGGGGGGTCAGGTCCCGAGGTGGGGGTCAGGTCCCCGAGGGGGGGGTCAGGTCCCGAGGGGGGGGTCAGGTCCCGAGAGGGGGTCAGGTCCCGAGGGGGGGGGTCAGGTCCCGAGGGGGGGGGTCAGGTCCTGAGGGGGGGTCAGGTCCCGAGGGGCGGGTCCGTCCGAGGGGGGGTCAGGTCCCGAGGGGGGGTCAGGTTCCGAGGGGGGGGTCAGGTCCCGAGGGGGGGGGGTCAGGTTCCGAGGAGGGGGGGTCAGGTCACGAGGTGGGGGGTCAGTCCTGAGGGGGGGGTCGGTCCCCCGTCGTCCTGAAGGAGGGGGGGTTCAGCTCCCCGTCCTGAGGGGGGGGCAGGTCTGAGGGGGGGGGCGCCGTCCGTCATTGAGGGGGGGGGTCCAGGTCCTGCGGGGGGGGTCCAGGTCCTGAGGGGGGGTCAGGTCCGGAGGGGGGGGGTCAGGTCCCTAGGGGGGGTCGGTCCCGGAGGGGGGGGTCAGGTCCCCGATGGGGGGGGTCAGGTCCCTAGGGAGGGGGTGGTTCCGAGGGGGGGGATCAGGTCCCAAGGGCGGGGGTCAGGTCCCGAGAGGGAGGGTCAGGTCCCGAGGGGAGGTCAGGTCCTGAGGGGGAGGTCAGGTCCCGAGAGGGGATGGGTCAGGTCCCGAGAGGGGGGGGGTCAGGTCCTGAGAGGGGGGTCAGGTCCCGAGGGGGGGTCAGGTCCGTTTCGAGGGGGGGGTCAGGTCCCGAGGGGGGGGTCAGGTCCCGAGAGGGGGGGTCAGGTCCCGAGGGGGGGGGTTCAGGTCCCGGGGGGGGGGGTCAGGTCCCGAAGGGGGGGGTCAGGTCCCGAGAGGGGGGGGTCAGGTCCAGTCCTGAGGGGGTCAGGTTCCCAGGGGGGGGTCAGGTCCCGAGGGGGGGGTCAGGTTCCGAGGGGGGGGGTCAGGTTCCGAGGGGGGGGGTCAGGTCCTGAGGGGGGGGTCAGGTCCTGCGGCCCGCGCCGCCGTACGTCCTGAGGGGGGGGGTCAGGTTCCGCGGCGCCGTCCGTCCTGAGGGGGGGTCAGGTCCTGAGGGGGGGGTCAGGTCCCGTCCTGAGGGGGGGTCAGGTCCCGCCCAGGGCCACGACATGCGCGCGACAGGCGCGTTAAGGGCCCTCTCGGGGCCCTCTGGGAGTGTTCCTGGGCCTCCCAGGCGGGCCCCGCAAGGCCCCAAGAGGGCCCAGGAGGGCTCCAAGAGAGCCCCAAGAAGGACCCAAGGACGCATGTCGTGCGCATGTCGTCGTCGTCCTGGGCCCCAGGGCCACGACATGCGCACGACATGCGCGTTAAGGGCCCTCTCGGGGCCCGCTGGGGGCGCTCCTGGGCCTCTCAGGCGGGCCCCGCAAGGCTCCAAGAGGGCCCTGAGGGGGGTCAGGTCCTGAGGGGGGTCAGGTCCCCCCCCCGCCCCCGCCGCGTCCTGAGGGGGGGTCGGGTCCCCTCCGATCCCCGCCGTCGACCTGAGGGGGGGTCAGGTCCCCCCGCCCCTCCAGCCCCGAGGGGGGGTCCGGTTCGGCCGGTTCGGTTCGTCGGGCCGGTTCGGTCCGGCCGGTTCGGGTCAGAGGCTGGCGCGGTCCGGTTCGGCCGGTTCGGGTCGAGGACCGGTCCGGTTCGGCCGGTTCGGTTCGGGGGCTGGTTCTCGGTTCTCGGTTCGGTTCGCGGCCATCATGCTATAGGGCACTCCGAGACTTCGATTAGGTGTCGGGCGATGGACGGGGCGTTTCCGTGCTCTTGCCCTTTGTCCATGCGGTTGTTGGCCACAGTTTTTGGACGGAAGGAGCCTTGCACGGCAGGAGGTCTGTACAGAGGTTGCCATTGCCAACGTGCACCAGGGTGCCATTTGCGTGAGTTCCATCCTGCGTTTCCTCAGGATCAAGTTTTTGATCAGTGAGGCAGCTCGGTCGATCGAGCCGGCCTGGTCAGGAATGGTGGAAGGGGTGCACTGCCTTCACCGCCTCGACGACCACCGTCTCGGTAGTCACAACACATGTAGTAATGCAGCTCTGCAGCCAGATGCATAGCGCACAACTTTGTTAAAATGGCCCGATGGGTGATGGATATGGTGACGCTTCCTTGGGGGGACTTGGAGGGTGGGCCTAATCTTGCTTCGCATGCTGCGTGCGCGTGCTAACAGACCCAGCTGGCCGGCACAGCTCATGAGTAGGGGTTTGCCAGCTGTCGCGCACACAGACCGTGCCTGGATGTGCGCGAGGGGATAAAAACAGGGAAGGACGACAGGCAACCTCTCAACCAAGGCAGCCGCGGGAAGCGCGGGACGACGACGCCGCCGCCGACGACGACGACAGGAGTCAATGTGAAGACCTTTGTGATCTGTCGCTCCCCTTGGGGTCATCGTGGGGGCCATCATGGAAGCTTTTTGGGCCCTCGTCGGGCTCTCTTCCGGCCCTGTCGGGGCGCTCTGGGGCTCTCTTGGGGCCCTCTTGGAGGCTTTGGAGGGCGCGGCCAGGGCCGACAATTACCACCGTGACGACGGCGGCCCCGACGGCCGCCCCCCCCCCCCGCCCCCTCCTCTGGTTGGTGGTGTGGTGGTGTGCGTTACGCCTGGCACGCTTCGGAGCCGAACTCGGGAGTTACCTCACGCCTCCCGGTCGCCCGGCCGCCGCTCTCGGCGGGGGGTGGAGGCCCTGCCGGGGAGGCCCTGGCGCCGGCCTCGTCTCTTTCCCTCCCTCTCCTCGCCGGGCTGGAGCGTTTGCATTCTAGACGCTTCGTGCAGCGTCTGCGCTTGGGCGAACTTGACAAATGTAAGGTCCAGGAGAGGCTGAAGCCCAACGAGAAGAAGACGTACTGCCGCCTCGACTGGCCCCCCGCCTACCGCATCCGGCACAAGAAGACAGACCGTCATTGCACGGAACGGGTGGTAATTTCCCTACACGGCCGCTCCTCCGACGAGCTTGCCGAGATGGGCATGGTCTGGCCTGGCCTACAGGAGCTCGGGCAGTCCCACTCCCACGCCGAGTGCACGCGGCTCCACCTTGCCCCGAACACCAAGTACCCTTCCAACTCCTGCATCGTGCAATACAACTTCGACAAATTCGGCCCTTTCTACCCTGGCCGTCTTGAGAAACCCCTTGTGGGCAAGGCGTCCGACCCCATCGACCGAATCGACAGGACTCCCTCCGACCTTCAGTACTGGAAACTCCACCACGCCATCAAGGAACTCTACATACGGAGCCACGACTCTCACGACCTCTTTGGCGTCCCCGTCCCCGTCCTCACGTTTATCCTGGGCTTCAGGAGCGCAGAGGTCTCGGACAAGCAGGCCGCTAACAGGGTGCACTTAGGTCACGACAACGGCATGGTGCTTCGCCGTCGAACAGCCTCCACTCTCAACACGGCCATCGTGGACCCCGATACCATCGACGTGGCCGACCCCAACAACGCGGGGTACCCAACTATCAGCGCGGACGAGATCGACAACAACGCCGGCCAAGTCTTTCCAGCGCACCAAGTGCGTTCCGGTCGCTCACCTGTTCGACCGCACCGCCACCGCACACGGCCTCAATGACCTTTCGAAACAGGTGCTCCACACGTGCACTTCCCACCACCTCACGCTGGTGCATAGCCCCCCTGACTCGGGAAAGACGACCACCATCGTCGCTCTGGTGTCAGCGTGGGCCCCCGCCCTCCACAAAGGCCAAGCCGTTGGAGTCTTCACTGGGTCCAACACAGCCGCCGACCAGCCCCTCAAGGCTTTCTCTGCTGTCAAGCACAACAGCCAGCTCGAGGACAGCACTGGCTTCCCCCGCGCCTTCGTTCGGTTCGCTCGCCGAGAGAGGGTCGACCGAGAGCTGGTCCCCCTCACCCCAGAAGGACACTACCAAACTGCCCACGGCAGTTAGTCCCCCGAACACGGTGACAACACCGTGTTCAATTCTTACAAGAGGCAGCTGCTTCAACAGGCATGCGCAGTTTTTGCTACGCACGAGGCCGCCGCTGAGCTGGGCGGCAAGTCATCCCTCAGTCTCCCACCGAGCGCAATTGACGAAGTTGGTGAACGACCGAGGGGAGCGCGGCTATGTCTCTGGTCCACATACGCAGTGGTGGGCACCTTGTGGTGGTTGGCGACCCCCAGCAGCTCTTTCCCACCGTCATGTCCAGGAAGGCAGCGGATATGGGCCTCGCCCTGTCTATCTTCCAACGCCTCCACGTTTCACTCGGGGAACAGAAGGGAGAACAAAATGTGGCCTGCATCACCCTGTCGCTGACATACCGTATGCGCCCGTTCCTCATGCTCTTCCCTTCCAGGGCTTTCTACAAGGGGGCCCTCCTCAGCGGACTCGCCGGCCCCCTCGCTGACCGCCCCCTGGTGCCGTGCCTGCCCTGTCCCACAGTGAAGGAAATCATCATTGTACAGTGTGAGTCCCTCGCTGAAGTCCTCAGGGCCCGCGCCGACGACATGGTGGGCGATTGCAGCGGCCCCCTCCCCCCCCCCCCGATGTCCGCAGCACTGACAAGGGCGACGCCCATCGTATCATGCTGGTGGATAACAGATCATGCGAGCTCACCTCTCCCCATCGCCGAAGGGTGTGCCAACTTGCCCGAGGCCGCTCTAACGGTTGACCTCGTTCGAAGCCTCTTACCGGCGCTGGAAGACGGCCTCGCTGTCAAGGTCATCGTTCCATACAGGCTGCAGAAGGGGATCCTCGAAGACGGATGGCCGCTCAGCGCTCCCGCGATGCAGATAGTCATGAGGGTTGCGTCGCCGGGCGCCCCTTCCCGCCGCCGTCGGGATGGCGCCCATGTCCCCCGCCCCCTGCATCCGCCCCGCAGCGAAGCCGCGCGCCCGCGGACTCGGTTCAGACTTCCACATGCGCTGACTCGGTATCGGGTCCCATGGACACCGACTTCATCTCCGAGCGGCAAGGGCGGGGGCTCGTCTTCAACTCTCAGTCCTCTGGCGTCAACGGTTTGATTTGCGCTTTCCCAGGCCTCCGCCGAGTCGCCCACGAGCCCCTTGCCTCAGGCCGGCTCGCCTTGTCCTCAGTCGACGCCAGTCAGGGCGGCGAAGTTAACCCAGCAATCTTCGCCACCGCGCGGTCCAACTCCTACCGCGCGTGGGGGTTCGTGGACAGCCCCGACAGAGTGGGCGTCGGGCTGACACGCGCCAAGCGCGGACTCGTGATCATCGGGGACGGCCGCGTGATGGCCTCCATAACCGACTGCAAACTGAGGCCCCTCTCCAACGGCGGGCGCCTCGCGGCCCTCTCGGTCGGACTCTGCCCCCGCCGCAGCCCTGGTTACCGCCCTGAGCTACGACCCCTCCTTTGACCCCATCGACGACTTCGTCTTTCGCGGGCCCCGCAGGGGCCCGACGCCCCAGCCGCCAACGAAACCAACGAGGCCGACGTCAAGATCGACCAGGCAGTGGCCAAAAAGAGGGAGGGATGCGCCAAGAGCTTCAGCGCGCGCAACAGCCCCCCCTTGACGATGACGGCCGCCGTGGCGGCCACGGCCGCCAGCTGGGCGCTGCGTTGGAGAGCCTCCTGACCGACCCCGCACTGCCCGTGGCCCTCTTCCCAGTCGCTGGGCCCCGCTCTCAGAGGTGCAACTTAGAAAGCGGCCCCTCCGACCCCGCCCAGTTCGACAGGAAAGCTTGGAGAAGCCTGGGATGCCCGTCCAACGTGGAGCTCGGGATGGGCGCCGGCAACCTGGTCTACAACATGACCTGGGCCACCCTGGTCTGGGCGGTCGGCCTGGGCACCCCCTGGGGGGCCCCCCGGTGCCGGATCTGCCCCGGCGAGCTCCCCCCGCGGCCGCCGGTCCAGGGCAGGGCCACGCGGCGGCCGCGCGTCAAAGGGCGATGCGCCCCTGCTGAGCTCCCGCGCTAGATCCCCCAAGCATGGTCCGCTGGAACCAAGAGCTGCCCCCGCCGCCTCGTTTGCCCCGACTTCGACACCTTGGCCGCCCCGCATAAAGGGCCGCGACCAGTCAGCCTAGAACAGGGTCGACCTGCCGGGCCCCAGCGGCCGCGTCATGTCGATTGAGAAGGCCCGCTGTGCAATCATTATCATGATGCTCATGAAGCGCTAGCCGCGGGCGCACCTATGGCCCTTCTCGGACCCCTCCAGGTCAGGAGACATCCTGGAGGCCATCCTCGGGCTCTGTTGCCCCTGGCAAACGACCGTGTCCACTTCCGCGCCCGATTCGCGGGATCATGGGGTCTCGACCTAGCCGACCTCTGCCAGTTGCACGGCCGATCGGCCTGGTTTACCCTCCGCCGCCCTGCTGCCTTCGAAGCTGGTTGCCCCGCTGTCTTCGCCGACGTGGAGAAGTTCCCGTTTAAGCTGAAAGCCCCGATGGTAGTCCTCGAGAAGATCGGGAAGCCCGCCGACTTGGGCATCCTTTCCCGGTCGGCGTGCCGCCTCTGCGCCTTGCGCCGTGACTTCGTGGGCAGCGACAGCGGCTTAGGTTCCGACGACGCCCTTCCGGAGCTGGCATTCCTCGGCGGAGGCTTCTCGTTCGCCGGAGCCCCCCTGGACAAGGCTCTGCCCCCGGCGCCGCCCCCAGGCGCGACCGAGATCCCGAGCTACCTGGCCCCCGGCGACACTCGATTCAGCCTGGATTGGAAGGTGGCAAGATTTCGGCGCGACCAGCGCCTCCGAGTTGACCTCAGGCACGCTGGGGGCACATTGCTCCACGACGCCGCCCGCTCGTGCCTGGCGCAGAACCGCCTGCAGGCTCGCGCCGACGGGATGGACTGCGCGTGGCTCTGCTGCCAATGCTGGTTTCGTGAAGTGGGGAAACAGGGCTCTCAAGTCCTGTGCAGACATCCTGCGCGAGCGGGTGCGCGCCTTCGCGCTGTCCAGGAATCCCGCCAGGCCCCCTCCCGCGGGCGCCCTGCCCCCCGCCGCCCGCCGGCGCGCGCGCGACGCGCGACGGCTGCCCCCCTGGGTCCCCAGCTCTCGTCTGGCAGGCCGGCTCCCCCGCGCTGGGCTGCTTCGCGTGGAAGGCGGACAAGGGCGCGCGTGTCGCAGGCGCTGGAGGGCCCCCCCCCTGGGAAGAACGCGCAGTGGCCTGGCATTCCCGCAGGTTGAATGCGACGTGGATGTGCCGCCGGTGCCTCGTCCGCGCATGGGGCGCCCGACCCGGCGCCGTCGATGCGCTCCTTGGCCGTGGCGCCCGCCGGATCAACCCAGACTGCCCCACTTCGAGGCCGCGCCCAGCCCCCGCCGTGCCAGGCGAGCCCCCCCATGGCCCACGAGCCGCCGCCCAGCCGCGCCTCCGCGACAAGGCCCGACGCGTTTAGCAAGGGGGGCGGCGCCTTCGCCTTCTTTCCCCCCGACCAGTGCGGGGGGCCCCCCCCCTCCGTGGATCCGTGGAGATACGCGACCTACTAC